ATTTAATTATAGTTAGGACTTAGGAGATATAAATTTGATAAAATTAAAAAAATATTATTTATAATAATATTTAGGAGATAAAAATTTGATAAAAATAAAAAATAATATTTAGGAGACAAAAATCTGATAAAAATAAAAAATAATATTTAAAATAATATTTAGGGGATACAAATATGATAAAATTCAAAAATAATATTTAAAATAATATTTAGGGGATACAAATTTGATAAAAATTGAAAAAAATTTACAAATATGACATTAATTTGATAAAAAAATCAAAAAATAATATTTAGGAGATAAAAATCAAAAATAAAATTTAAAATAATAGTTAGGAGATAAAAATTTGATAAAAAATCGAAAATAATATTCAAATAATGTTAATGAGATAAAAGTTGATAAAATATGAAAATAATAATTAGAATAATATTTAGGAGATAAAATATGATTAAAATTAAAATTATTATTTAAAATAATATTTAGGAGATAAAAATTTGATAAAAATCGAAAATAATATTTAGGAGACAATAATCTGATAAAAAACGAAAATAATATTTAGGAGATAAAAAATTAATAAAAACATGATAAAACTCGAAAAAAATATTTAAAATATTATTTAGGAGATATAAATTTGATAAAATTCGAAAATAATATTTAGGAGATAAAAATCTGCTAAAAGTTGAAAATTATATTTAAAATTATAGTTAGGACTTAGGAGATATAAATTTGATAAAATTAAAAAAATATTATTTATAATAATATTTAGGAGATAAAAATTTGATAAAAATAAAAAATAATATTTAGGAGACAAAAATCTGATAAAAATAAACAATAATATTTAAAATAATATTTAGGGGATACAAATATGATAAAATTCAAAAATAATATTTAAAATAATATTAAGGAGATAAAAATTTGATAAAAATTGAAAAAAATTTACAAATATGACATTAGGGTTTCTAAGTGTTGCCCTAGCGTTTCTTTCTTTTATATATAAGATTTAAAATCGAAAATATCTCCTAAATATTATTTTAAATATTATTTTTGATTTTTATCTCCTAACTACTATTTTCGATTTGTATTAGATTTTTATCTCCTAAATATTATTTTCGATTTTTATCAAATTTTTATCTCCTAAATATTATTTTAAATATTATTTTCGATTTGTATCAATTTTTTATCTCCAAAATATTATTTTAATAAAAAACGCTAGGGCAACTCAAGAAACCCTAATGTCATATTGTAATTTTTTCTTATATATAAAAGATATTTTCGATTTATATTAGATTTTTATCTCCTAAATATTATTTTCTATTTTTATCATTTTTTTATCTCCTAAATATTATTTTCGATTTGTATCAATTTTTTATCTCCAAAATATTATTTTAATTATTATTTTCGAATTTTATCAAATTTATATCTCCTAAATATTATTTTAAATATTGTTTTCGAGTTTTATATAAAAAATATCTCCTAAATATTATTTTTCAATTTTTATAAAATTTTTATCTCCTAAATATTATTTTCGATGTTGATCAAATTTTTATCTCCTAAATATTATTTTAACTAATATTTTTGATCTTTATCATATTTTTATCTCCTAAATATTATTTTAATTATTATTTTCGTATTTTATCAACTTTTATCTCATTAGCATTATTTTAATTATTATTTTCGATTTTTATTAAATTTTTATCTCTTGAATATTAATTTAAATATTATTTTCGATTTTTTTATCAGATTTTTATCTCCTATATATTATTTTTCGATTTCTTATCTAATTTTTATCTCCTAAATATTTTTTTTAAAATATTCTTTTCGATTTTCATCAAATTTTTATCTCCTAAATATTATTTTCGATTGTTATCAATTTTTTTGTCCGAACCAGCCAAATCACTCTTATTTTCAGCCATAGATATCTCTAATGCACAAACAATTAAAGCTCCTAAATATTGTTTGATCTCCTAATTTTCAGCCATAAACACTGAACACTAAATATTATTTTTTGATGATAAAATACTAATTATTGTATTCCCAAAGATGGACGATTCCCAAAGACTTCCCTTAAGACTCTTAACACTTTCAACTTCTCTCTTCCACTTCAGCACGTTTATGTTTGCTCTTCTTATTTATATCCACTCTGCAACATTCGAATTTTATTTCTTCATCCTACCTAAGAGGCTTCTTCTTTTGGTAACCCGACTTTAGAATTTTTGTCTTATTTTCTTCTTCATCCTATTGACTGTGTGGTAATTAGTTTGCATTTTTTTCCATCATGGCTTATAGGTAATTTCATTTTGTTAAATTATGTTCATTAATTTATACCAAAGATTTCAAATTTTGTGTATAACAATTATTTCCTTTTAGATGTTATTGGACATGTTATAGAACTGGATGATTGGAGAGAACTAAGCAAAACTGGGCGGAGCCACAAGCTATTGGAAGTCGGCCTTCAAGACATATTGTTTGTATGGATATTTAATTTATTGTTTATATTTATTTTTGTTTCTTAATTTTCCAATATAATTGTTAATTCCAGTGACAAAACAGGACCAAAACGAGGCAGTGAAGAAGGGCTTTATTACGAGCAAGATGTACAGATGACCTTTTAGGTTGGTATGTTGTCGATAGTTTAGTTTTGATTAGGTTAATTAAGTTGTTAAATCTAATTACTTTTAAACTCAACATGAAAGACATAGTTGATGATTTTGTTTTTGGTTCAATTTTTCAATCTAATGGTATTAGTTGATTCAATTTATTTGGAAATTTATTCAACTGTAAAGTTATTTGTTTGTTTGTTTTTTTTTTTTTTTTTTCTGTGTAGTATACTTAGTAATGTTCCACTGGTGAATTATTAATGAATGATTATAGCAATATTTTGATCATACGATACATCAAACGTTTGTTTTATATTCTTACAACATCAAAACAATGTAATTTGTTGCCCCGTGCATCGCACGGGGACAATTACTAGTAGTAATGATATTACAAGTGTCATTTCGAAAATTAAAATTGGAATAGAAATTTAAATCTCATATATATCATCCAAAAAAAATTAAAGAAAAAAGTTTAAATTTAAATTTCGAGAATTTAGAATGAAAAATATTGTTCCAAAATGGAGAAATTTTATTATTCGAACCCCTAGAACCAACCAATTAATTAGAAGGGAAAATCGGGGAGCAAGTGCACCGAGAGCAGCCGAGCCCAATTCCAGATAAGTAGCCATTTTCTAATCCTGCTTTAAAAATTTTGCAGCGTGGAAGTAGAAGAATCTCCATCTCCATGGAAGCCACACTTCTCCAACCTCAATCCCATTTCTATGTTCAAGGTATCTTTCTTCATTAACATCTTTCTATTTTTTCTCAGAGCTACTGCGATTATCTTTTCCTTTTTATTTTTTTTTAATTAATATAATCCATGTCAAATTATCTGTACTGTGGCAAAACACGACACCATGTTAATTTGAAATTGCACTGTTTGCTTGCTTTCTTCTGCTACGGCAGACTAGAAGATTAGAATAATTTAAGTAAGTTGTACAATTGTAGGTTTTCAGGGCATAGTGATTTTTCCCCTTTTGTTTCTTGTTCTCTTTTTTTTTTTTTTTTTCTTTTTTTTTTGTGTGTGTGTGTGTGTGTTTAAAATTTTGATTCCTATTAATTTGAGATTTTATCAGAAAATCTCATGACTTTTGTACTCCGGCCTCGAGTGGGGGTTTTTATGTATTCCTACATTTTGTTGTTATGTTTCTTCCAACTAACTGCGTTGTGTTTGCAGGTAGGAATACTTGGTGTGAATCTCGGTTCTGCAATTCAAGATTATCCACAAATCGTGTTTCTCTCAAACCATTATCGTCAGAATTATGCCGAAAACAGTCCTGTTCTTTTAACAAACATGTGTTCTTCAAAGAAAACAAAGGGTTGTTGTTACTCAATCATTTTCCGAGGAACCCTGTAAAAGTTTGTGCTGCATCGACAGAATCCATAAACTACGAACAGTTTGTAGACGCGGAAACAAGTGGGGAAAGTGCGTTGAATGTGAATAGAACTGAAAATTCAGCGATTTTGGAGCCGAAGCCTAAAGCATTTAGGAATAAATTTTTAAACTTTGTCCGGTTTGGTTCGATAATTAATAATGCCGCAGAATCCTTTTTCAAGAGCGAGATAAGAAGAAGGCTGTTTGTGACTGCAGTCTTGATAGTAATCAGTCGTATTGGATACTTTATTCCCTTACCGGGATTCGATCGGAGATTGATGCCCAAAAATTATCTCAGCTTCGTCTCTGGTGCTGTTGGTCAGTAAACTTTCACCGTAATTTTGTTTGTTGACGTTAATAAAATCGGCTTCTCTGCATTGATTAAGCAATGGTGTATGTGGATTTCTTTTCTTGAAATTCTTATTTGTTTTCACTGCAATTTTGTTTTTGATATCATGGTTAATTCTTTACTGGGCTGTTTTAGTAAATTACTCCCCGTTCTTTTTCAGTACTCGTAGACTTATTTGTTTGCATTTGGATGTTCGACTATTTACAGATGAACTTGGTGATCTCTCTCCCGAACTTAAGCTCTCTCTTTTCCAGCTTGGGATCAGTCCTCAAATAGCCGCATCAATCCTTATGCAGGTTAAATTACTTTGAGCTTTTGAGATGTGTTTTATTAAAAAGGATTTTGTCGATTTTATTTTGGACGCATGCTACTCGTAAGTCGTAACTGCTTTGCAAATGACCTTAGTCTTGCAAATGATGCTAATTAACATAAATTCTCGTTCAGGTGCTTTGTTATGTCGTCCCGTCATTAGTAAAGCTGCGGAAAGAAGGCTTAGATGGTCACGAGAAGATCAAGAGTTATATGTGTGTCTAGTTATTTCAACTCAAGCCGTGAGACTAAGTCCTTCGTTAAATATCTTGTTTGCTAAGTAAATTCTCCGTAGTGTTTATGTATTTTTAATCTCTTTCAGATGGTGGATCTCTCTAGGCTTTGCAGTTGTCGAGGCACTAATCCTTTCCTTTTACTCTCTCCCCTATTCAATTTACGCGTCCAGCCACAGGTAATCACGGCAGAATTCGTTCATATAATATTTAAGCTCCCAAGTCCCAATACGAGTTATTAATTTCGTAAAATTGAGACCAATGGAAAAAATTCACTTTTACGTGTTCACCTCAAATAATTCTGCTTTGATAATATGGCCCGACAGTCGTAGCTTTCTACTTTATATTTGTTCTTCGTTGTTTAAATTTGCTTGCTGATTCTAAAAAAACAACAATTTGAAAATTGATATATATTGTAATAAGAAAGAATTTATTTATTTATAAGGGCTTCTTTTAATTTCGTTTTACGAGGCCGATTCTGCTTGCCGATGATGTGATGTTTTTAAATTGACGGCCAATATGCAGGGTAAAGCATGTGATGGTCACAACTTTATTCATGGTGTGTGGTGCGATGACTATGACTTGGATTTGTGACAAGATTACAGAGTCGGGATTCGGTATTTCCCTCGTGCATATTTTCAACTATGTTTTTTTGCCGTCATATTAGCTGAGTATTTTATCTAGCTCTGTAAACTGCCAGGTCAAGGGTCGTCTTTGATTATCTGCGTCAGCATTTTGACTGGCTGCACAGATACACTGTACAAGATGTTGACTCAGCTCTCAGGTGAGTGACACGGATAAAAGTATTATTATAAATATTTATTGCTCTCACTTTGTTACTTGTTGGTTTTGCCTCGTCTTTATCTTAGTAATACTATCGGACGACACATCCATAGAACAAATCGTGGTATTTTTTTCATCTTAATGTAATGACTCTGTTAGTTATTCATTAAAATTTGTTAGTGAATACACTATGATTGCATACTTTATTACAACCTTGAAAATAGTTCTTACTCTGCTGTTTCGATTACTACCAAAGAACATTGCCTCTGTAGTATCAAATTATCTAGATTATAACAGCTTTTATTTATTTATTTTATTAATGGGGATTTTCTACCCAAGTGCAGGAAGTTCGGTGAACTGGGGGCCTTACGTACTTGCAGTATTAGGTGTTTTTACGGTGGTGACAATGTGGGCAGTTGTTGTGACCGAGGGTTGCAGGAAAATCAAGTTGCAATATTACGGTTTTAAACTTGCTTCTGCTACCAGGTATTTAAACATTATAACAAATTCGTAATTCAAATAACATAGTGTTTTTTTAAAGGCAAATTTATTGATTTTTTTTTCGTTTTTTTTCCCGGTGATGTGGACAGAGAAGATTCTCCTCTAACTGAGGTGGAGCCTTATATTCCATTTAACATAAACCCTGCTGGAATGCAACCTGTACTTACTACTTCTTATCTCTTGGCTTTTCCGGGCATTGTTGCAAGGTTATTATACTGTTTCTCCTTTATTGTCGTTTTCCTAGTATGATTTCTTTCTCAAGGTTTCGTAAAGGGTTTTATTTATTTATTTATTTATTCAAAGCTATCGATTGGTTGCGTATTATAATTTGGCAGTTCAGTTTGAATCTAACATATGAATTTTGGGTCAGTCTTCTTGGCTTGCGCTTTTGGGAACGTCTGAGAGATATCCTGAATCCCGACACACCTCTCGGTGCAGAGCCTTGGGTTTACTATTCTATATATGCGTTTTTCGTCTTCCTTTTCAACATATTTGACATTGTAAGTCAATTTCCGACTTTCATATGCATATGTATTTTTTATTAAAGACATAAAGTTAAATGCAATAATTTCCGACTTTCATATGCATATCTCGTTAATCTCTCTTATCCAGGCAAATATGCCGAAGGAAATTGCGGATTACTTAAATAAGATGGGAGCCAGAATTCCAAATATAAAACCAGGAAAAGCCACAATTGAGTATTTAACGAAGATCCAAGCATCTACGCGTTTTTGGGGTACAAACAATCGTTGCCACATTCTTTACGCATGCAATCTAATTATTTCTATCTTTATTCACTCCAATTTTCTCAACATACTACGACATCTTATTATGCAGGAGGTTTATTACTGAGTTTTTTGGCGACTTCATCGAGCATTCTAGATCATCATTTACGTAGTATTAATCAGGGATTCTCCATAGGCTTCACATCGATTCTAATCATTGTAAGTTCTTTTCTATCACATCAATTTTAGCATTTATTTACCTCAGAGGTATTTTCTTACAAACATATACTATCGGAAATGAGCAATTTTGGCAGTTGATATGTTCTTACTGAAATTGTACACCTACTATATGGTTTTCTTTTGGCACTTCTTCAATATAGTTATGAAACCACAAGGATGATCAAATATCTCTCGGTTTTATTTATTTATTTATATATATTTTTTAATCAACTTAACTTGTCTTTGTGTTGGTATATCCAGGTGGGTTCGATAATTGAATTGCGAAGATCGTACCAAGCCTACAATGTTATGCCAAGCCTTACTAAAGCATTGCGGCGTTACGGACTATGATTTATGTCCAATAGATAGAGAAAATCTCAATCATTTGTGGAAGTTGGTGCTTAATCGACGGATCATTCGCAATCCAGTTGCCAAATTATCAACACGAGAGAGTCTCAGGTTTGCAAGCAAGGGTTGTATGTATATTGGTTGCTTCGTTTAATTACCGTAGTCATTATTTTTTTCTATGTAGTGATTTGATGTAGTACTTGTTATAGGAACCGTAACGAATCACATTGACCGTCGACATTCATTTTACGTAGATTATAATGACGGAAATTTATTATATATGATTCCAATTTTTGAGGCACTATATATATGCATGTATACGTATATATGTAAATATTTGGGTAAATTACGGGCCAACTCTTGAGGTAAGGTCAAATTACGAAAACCCGCCTCCTATTTGGGTAATTACAACCACCCATTCAACTATGCATCTTTTTACATGTCAATCCTTGGGCTGTATTATTCAACCACTTCATTAGGGGTGAGCAAAAAAACCGAAGAGAAAAAATCGAGTCGATATGCATCGTCCTGACTTAAAATTGTATATACGGTAAATTCTTTTTGAAAAACCGAAAATATCGGTTTGTGTATGGAGAATAAAATAATTACCGAACCGACTATCCGAACATAACCATTTTATACAAAAATACGTCATTTTGATATATAGTATAAACACTTACCCTAGCGCGCTTCTATCCTCGAGCGCCTCCATGTGACATGTTTTTTTATTAATTAATTTTGGGTTGTGACGTATTTTTTATTAGTTAATTTTGTGTTGTTATTTGTTAATTTTCTTAAATATATGTAATGAAAGTCCAAATATATCGGTTTTATGCCGAACCGATTCGAACCAATAGACGAAACCGAAACCGAAACCGAAATCGAAACCGAAAATAAACCGAATTGATACCGAAACCCAAAACCGAAAACCGAAAAACCGATTAACACCGAATCGAAAAAAACCGACATATTCGGTTTTTAAAATATGAAAAACCGATATTATCGGTACGTGTTTGGTTTATTGTAAAACCAAACCGTACCGACCCGTGCGCACTCCTACATTTCATTTTACCAAGTTCAATGTTAGTCTTCAACGTTAGTGGAATCTTCTAGATTATGTGGAATATTCTCTAATTTCGTATTTTGACCCCCTCAAGGCCGGTGGCTCCGTCGACCCTACATCCGGTGATATAAACCGGGTGAGTCTTCTGCTGCCACGTGTCCTTTTTTTTTTTTTTTTTTTTTTTCTAAAACCCCTAAAGGTAAACCATAGCGAAGGAATATATTATAAAATACAAAAAAAACACGTGGCAGCAGAAGACCCACCTAGTGTTTTATCACAGAGTGCACGGTCGAAGAAGTCAAGGCCGGGTCTCTTAAGTGGGGTTTTTGGTATTAAAACCGACAATTAAGGATACTTTGTCATTTGTAGTTCTATCAGTTTGCCATACTGCAATAAGAAGAAAAAAAATCACGCAAATGTAGTTAGTGTTTGTCTCGATGGATGAACATAAAACACACAAGACACAATTCCGAATTTTAAATGAAAAAAGAAAAAGAAAATGAGGTAACGAGGTTACAGTAATAGAAAAGCCGGCGACATAGTCCAAGAATGGAGCACAAACCAATGAGCAATAAGCCCTTATATAATATGTATGTATCCATCACTTCTCAGCCAATCATATCCATCAGTATCCCACTCTGCAAAACAAAACAATTCTCTAGAGAGAGAGAGAGAGATCTAGAGAGAGAGAGAGAGATGGCCATTGTTCAGAGTTTCAACATGATGAGTATTGCATTGCTCATTGGTCTGAGCCTTCTTTTGGTTGCTAAAAGTGACCCAAACACGAGCGTGAATCTGATTGTGTGCAATGGAAATAGTTACGCGCAGAGCGATGCGTACGCAAATAGCGTAGCCTATGTACTTGCGGACATCATGAACGTCACTCCCAACCATGGCTACGACTACAAGACACAATCGCCGTACGCGCAGGCTGTTTCTTACGGGCACGCCACTTGTAATACCGCCCTCAACTACAACGACTGCGCTGACTGCATGATTGCCGCCAGATCCGCCGTCACCAACAACTGTCTTGACAAAGTTGGGGCACAAGTCTCGATGGTTGATTGTTCCATGAGATATGAGAACTATTCTTTCTAATTATCATAACTTGGAAGAAACTAGAGTGCGCCCTGGAGAAACGGTGTTCGAGTTCTTTCATATCTCTTTAATTTATTTTTGGTTTTTTAGTTTTTTTTTCCTGTTGAGTTATTTCAGTTTTCAGTGTTTTTGGCTACTTAATAAATTAAGAATCTGTGCACGTTGTGAGCCGAATTCCTTCGGATACAGTTAAATCTCCATAAATTAATAGCATTGGAACAAAATAATTTATTGATTTAGTGGAATTGTTCTAAATTGACCTATTCTATGTAGCTATTTGGTTTGGTGATTGTGAAATAAAGTAATGTAATATCACATAAACAACAATGTACAATGATAGAAATAGAGAATGCAAAGGAAAGTAATATGTAGAGAGATAATCGTGAGATAGATGGGATGAAGTTTTCGTCATAAATGTAGGCATAAACCATCAAAAAGTAACAAAATGTTACAAAGTGAATAAGTTAAGACCTAGTCGGAAGTTGTGAACCATCAAGTGGTTATGTTAGAAAACATCAGTCTTATATTATTTACAACAGATTCTTTTGGAAATCCTATCAAGCCACTATTGTTCATTTCATATTGTCTCGTTAAAACCTTTCGAATAATAAAACTCAATTAGAAAACAATCTGGTTTAGCAAAAAATGAAAAAGAAAAGAAGAGTACAATCCACAATCTTTTCAGTTAACATGTGTTTCCTCGTTGAACCCTTGGCAAGTAATGAAAATTTTGTGGGAAAAATAAATCACTTAAAGGAAAAATAGTACAACTGAACATCCTGGTATCTAATGAGTACTTACACGGTATTCCACATCTCAAAGTTAACTTCCTCTGTATGTTTATAAGGAGCGAGCTCGAGTAATTTACGCAAGCCAAATAGTTTTAATATGCTATCCAACAGTGGCTTTATGCAAAAACATAGTAAATAAAATAAGTAATTATCCCCAACTTCTGATATGTTGTATTATTATTGCTTGAGCTCTTGTTGTTGTTGATTGAAGAAAAAACTTCGAAGTTATATTCTTGGTGTTATCACTTTTAATGATCCTCGAATATAATCTCGTAGGATCTTTTGTGTTAGCCAATGCACATGAACCTCAGACATGCCCAACCATGACTTTAGACCATGTGCATCACAGACTACCTCGTGAAGCACTAATATCTCTGCTTGATTCGATGACATCTCAACATGTTTTCAAATCACAAAATGAGTCTGACATTATAACTCCCATCCAACTTCGCACCGTACTTAACGAATATTAGTTTGCTGATCTATTAAATGTCCACACGACTTCATGATGTTTTTCAGGAATATTAATGTGGACGTTATGTGGAAATCTATTAGTCATCTCACAAAATTCATGTCATTCTTCAAGAATATTAGTGTGAATGTTCTCTATTAGTCGTCCCACATGACTTCACGCTATTTTTTAGGAATGTTAATGTGGACGTCATTTGGAGATTTGTTAGTCATCTCACATAAATTCATGCCGTTCTTCAAGAATATTAGTGTGGACGTGTTTTACAAATATACTAGTCGTCCTTCACGCCGTTCTTCATGAATATTAGTATAGACATTACTTACAGATCTATTAATTATCTCACACAGCTTTATCCCGTTCTTCAGGAACATTAGTTTGGATGACCTATTAATGTATATATATTCTCTGACATAGTTCAACTGCACACTTGACCATCCTTTTGACGCTTCAGGACTTGACAATATATGTTTTAAAAGATGATTTGAGAGAAAAACTTCTTGGTGGGATTGTAAATAAGGGGACAACTTTTTAGCAACTATCACTTGAGAAAAAAATCAATTTATCTGTATTGTTTTATCGCAGCTCAGTGCCTTGGAATTCGGCTAATGTGGTATAATAGAAGGGCTCAAGATCCACTTATCTCACAAGAACAACCCTTATTGTTTCTGTCACAACTAGATAAAAGGGACAATATACTTCAAATCTTCAATCTTGAAAATGGATTTTTTCTGATCTGGTGAAATGCTTTCCTTGACGAAAGATTTTGAAAAAAATAGTTTTTTTCGTTGATCGGATAAGAATTGATTTAGTCAGCCATCCATCCCGTCAATTCCTGCACTTATTTTAAAGTCCGAGGGGACGATATTTTTTCATTATAGCTTCAGTCTTCTCTGGATTGGCCTCTAGTTCTCTACGATTAGATATCCCAAAAACTTTCCTCCTTAATGACTACGAAGGTACACTTCCCCAAGTAAAGCTTCATATGATGCCTTATGAAAATAATAAAGCATTACTCCATATTGCGTCTCAAGATGACGTCAAACATTGGTTGATAATGCGATGATAGGTGGATGCAACATTTTTCTGTCCATTGCAAAAAAATTCTTGATTGATCGCAAAGCTTGATCTCTCCTAATCATCTAGGCTAGCCTTATTTAGTTATATTCGTGATAAAGATCAAGAAAACTCAGCAGTTTGCACCTAGAAGTTGAATCAATCCAGTATGGAGTATGGAATATATGACAAATGTGGAGTCTTTCTACTGATCGGTCATATATGCCCGAGTTGAGGAGCTAAGACCATTCCAATGCTCCCTTTCACTATGCATAAACTAAACCAACAATTAGGATAAGCACGACAATAAAAGCTTCTATAAATACAATACACCCAATACGTCGAAACTTATTGCGCATGGATATAGAAAAACGGTTTCAACATAAAAAATAACAAAAATCAGAGCAAATATAATATAACGTATTCTAAATTATAACCAGGCATTACCCATTGGTTTTATACCCTATTCACAAGTAGAAAATTTCTTCGACCCTTTTCTAATCGGGGCAAAAATTACATAAATGAAAAATGTCAAAATAGGAATAAAACTTGATATTATTATAAATGCCCAAAAAATTATCATATTCGTAAACCAAAAACAAAGACACACTCCTATATATGAAAACGAAATATATACAAAAACATAGACACACTCCTATGAACGCGGAAAATATACCTGAATGGTCAAGTCGAATTGAAGTTGTAGAGTCACCCCATAACTGTTTACTCAAAACACGAATTCATTTTGACGAAACTATCTAATTTCATGTGATTATTTCGGGGTATATCTCATTTCAAGATTTATCGACTGACTTGATCGGGATCCTATTTCCAGTTACTTCATTTTTTTATTTCGATTTTATTTAATTTCTTTAATTAGTATAACTCTATACGTTACGCTTAAACAAATGGACGGAACAATAGCATTATTGAGGTAGATACACAACTTACTTTAAATATAAGAAGTCGAGTAAATAGGTTGGTTCCGGTGGAGAGAAAAAAAATAATTGAACTTCACATATTTTCCGGAGATATCCATTTTCCTAAAGAGACGTATAAGATATCCCGACACAGCGGTGTTTTGATACCACCAGGAACAGGTAAACAAAATTATAGGGAATCAAAAAGTAGAAAAAATGGCGGATCACACCTTGCAAGAAAAAGTATTTTGTTTTGGTTCGGCTTGTCATCACATATGAAAAGGTATTAATGTGATATATTTGTTTAAATCCGGGGTCAATGTGTAATATTAAGGAAGTTAGAGCATAATGGGTGGAATTGATAAGAAATATATTATGGAGGGTATTTTAGACTAAAGACATAGGGATGATTTAATTGAGAGACTGTTTTTTTGGTGGACCAAAATGCATTTAAGTCCCATGTGATGAGCCTTTTTGCCATTCGCCCTATTTTTAATTATAGATTTTCAATGAATTATATTTTAAGCCCATGTACATCGTAAAACTAACCAGGACCCATTAAGTAAATGTGTGATTAGGGGCGGAAATCGAAATGGAATTTTCGAATTCCGCCAATTTTGTTCTGAAAATAACCGAATTTGGAACCATATTTTTTATTCCGATTTAGAAAGTTTCAATTTCCGATTCTCCCAAATTTATTTGGAACGGAATTAGAATAATATACAAAATTACCGGAGATTCCGATTTCCGATCCAATTTAGTTCTAAATATTCTAATGGTTTTTTAAAATATATAATATAATTTTATGCTATATTTTTTTTAATTCTACAACATAACTTTGGTTATATTTTAAATGAAAAATATAAATACCGACAGGGTCAAGTAAATTAAAATTTTAGAAAAGAGTAATTGGTTATGTTGCATTTTTCCTCATAAGAAAATACATGTTTCAAGTCATTATTCCTACATGTGTTTTTATTTATTATATTTTTCGAACTCTCTTTTGAATTTTCTTACATTTTTCTGCAAAAATAAAAAAAAGATAGAAAACAAGAGATTATAAAGTAATGTAATTTCCGAAATTTGGAATAAGAGATTATAAAGTAATGTAATTTCCGAAATTCAGCCGGTTCCGAAGCATTCCGAAATTGGAATGAATTTTTGCATTCCGATTTTTTTGGAACGGAAATTGGACCGCATTTTTTACTTCCGAAATTTTTTGAAAATTTTCAAAAAAAGTCATTTCCGTTCCATTCCGTCTGATTTACACCCCTATGTGTGATGATACGTGATATAACAATTATGCAAGTAAGATACATATGATGATACAATATTAATTTCTTCCCCCTCAACGCGTTGATGCCAAAACTTGAAACCATTGCTTCAAAAAGGACAAACAAATGCAACTTTGTGCATATGGCAAAAAATGGTGAACAAACCAAAGCATCCATACTCTATATAACTATCAATCGAATTAATTGGTCGCATAACTTACCACAACCCACAAAATAATCGAAAATAGAAGCAAAAAAAAAAACCCGAAAATGAGATCCAGGACCATTATAATCATGATGATCACATTGGTAATTATGGACATATTTACCGTGGTGAAGAACGAACCACACACGACCTTAAACTATCGTACTTGCAGCCTACAAACTTACGCACAAAACGACCCATTTGCAGACAGTGTGGCCTACGTTTTTGCTGATCTAATGAATCTAACGCCTTCTCAACAAGGATACAATCGATACACCGTATCAC